CATCATTGCTCTCCATAAGTACCCTTTTTAATGCTCTCCGTTATTGCTCTCCTTTACTGCTCCACATTTTTTTCTCATTCTTTTGTATGTTACCGTTGTCTTCATTTCTTTCAACGCACTTTATTTCTATATTTTTGGCTATTTTTTTTGTGGAATTGATGAATTCGAACAATGTCATATAGTGATTTTCCAAGCGTAGCTTAGATATGGTACAAGGCCTAAAGTAGGGGGCACCCAGAGAGGATCGAACTCACTACTCAGTCGTAATTCTGCTAGCGAGACAAGCTCGCTAACCATTATACTACCATTGAGGGGCCCCGAAATATATCATATACATTGGTGTGTGGTGCACTTAATTTTTAAGCTTTATTTTTAATCAATTCACACCAAGAAAAGCGATAATGCCACTTAGGTCTTGCAGAGTGAATCGAAACATAAGTTTTCTAGACTGATATATATATATATATATATATATATATATATATATATATATATATATATATATATATATATATATATATATATACCAAATCTGTTGGTAAGGATTATTCCAATGAAGTCTTACTAATTTAAAAATATTAAAAAGTTAACTGCATGATAAGAGCTCAATGTATAAATTTATATACAAACCAATATAAATAAATAATACGGAAAAGACATAATTAGTCATCATATAATTGATTAGAAATTTATTTCAACAGTTATACATAATATATATATATGCTCAATATCAGAGATAGAGCGTGTGTAAAATCAATAAAGGTGACAGTCTGTTTCATGTTATATGCAACCTCAGGCCTGACGATTGCATATAGCATGAAACAGACTGTCACCTCTAAGTGTTGACTTCTATGTTCACTATATATATATATATATGTATGTATGTATATGTATATACCTGCCTCATCAGACGGACTATGATATAAATTCCGCCAATTCATGCTAAACGTAATTTTCAGGCAAAATATATACAAAAATGTTGGAATAAATTTATAACGAATTATATGATGATTAAGTTTTCCTTATATATATATGTGTGTGTGTGTGTGTGTGTGTGTGTGTGTGTGTGTGTGTGTGCGAAACGTGTATGTATATAAATATAAATATATATATATGTATATGCAATTTATTATATACATTATTTATATATTATATATGCGCGCTACTTATTGGAAAGTGCTCAATATCAGAGATAGATCTAACATATTTAGTTGATTTGATGTGAGTTTAGACCCTGGGTTTCACGCTTTTTGTGATCGTCAGACAATCGAAAAAGCGTGAATCCCAGACTCACAAACTCACATCATTCCATCTCTCTCTCTCTCTCTCTATATATATATATATATATATATATATATATATATATATACATATATATATGAATAAAGTTGAGTTTGAACATAAATCCTCAGAGAGTAAACACAGACATTTCCATTACTGAATTAAATAGGTCACGTGACTATAGAGGAAACATATATGGGAGGTAGCGTGTGTCTAACTGATCGCTATTTCTAGTCTATCCTCTATTACTATTCGGATCACCATTTCTAGTCTATCCTCTATTATTATACGGACCACTGTTCTCTACACTATTCACTATACTATTTCTCAATTCATATCACTATTTGGTGGCTACTTTCCGAGCGAGTATTATCGAGCAAGTAATATTAGTGCGAATGATATTCGAAGGCGCCTGACACCAGTATTGTTCAACGGCGTACTGTAGTGGTATCTGCGATTACAAAGTCTCTACTACAACGACCATTACGAAAATAAAAAAAAATATATAAAAGTGGACAGTGAAGTCACCACCTATAGGCGAAAGAGTTTTCAAACGCAATCGTTTGGCCTGACGACTACGTTCATCATGAAATAGACTGTCGTCTCTGGGTATTCACTTTAATGTCCACTTTTATATTTTATATCTACATATAACGCCTAGTCGCGGAGTCTTTCTTTAGCGACACGTAATTCCTTCTCTGCTCTCCATTTCCTTCCTGAGTAGACTTCAATGCCTGCTCCAGCCATTTTTGGATCTTTGGATAACTTGTACTGCGTTATTGTTCTAATTTTGGTGACTTTGAATTCCTCTGCTAGACTTCGGAAAGGAAATTGAAGAGCATTAGTATTGCTGTATAGAGCAGCACTGGTCAAACTCTTTGGTAGACCTAACCATCTTCGTAGTCACATGTTAATTCTTTTTTCTAATTGTTTTATATGAGATGTTGCGAATTCGTAGATAGACAATGGCCATAAGATTTTGGGAAGAATGGCATGCTAATAAATCCAAGCTTTAAATCGGCCAGGAAAGCCAGACTTATCAACTCTCTTTAACCAAGTCTCTAGTTTCTTTTGTTTCTTGGATTGCTGTTGCATCTTTTAGAGTGATCTATACGTTTTCCAAGGCTTTTTAAGGTCTTTTCCTTCATTGTTGGTATGTTCCCACCGGAAAATCTAAATCGCTCTTTCTCCAATAATTTACCTTTTCTTAAAACGAGTGACCTTGATTGTGTAGAAAAATGACTGCATGGCAAACATAGATGTTTCCATTAGTAAGAAGGCAGAGGTTATCGTGATCGTGGATTTGAGCGTAATGGTCTTTCTTTAACGTTATGAGCTCTCTGGTTTCTTTGTTACCCAGAAACAGTAACAGTCTGCTTAGTGTTGTAGCAGTGTAAACTGTGGTATAGCGGGTGTCTGCAACCAGGTGTACTAGTCTAATGAGCAGCCTTGTTACGTCGTGCGGAGTGTTCTTTTTGGGCCTTCATCACAACAGGGAGTGGTAGATGTGATAGGCTAAAATAAACTTACAGAAAAACTCAAAAATGATCGCTGCATTTAAGTATTGCATTAATATTTAAGCTTACCTTTTAAAAGTTCAATGATAATTCTTCTACCGCAACTTAATTTAAAGACTATTTGTTGTACATAAGTCATTCTTTTCGTACAAACAATTATTTTTATTTCATGAGTGACTTTCGCTAGATTTCGCAATTAATTTCGATTATTTACATATTTATTTCCAAGTTATAAAAATTGTCATCGTACAAAAAATCGTCGCAATGAAATCACGTAAAAAATCGCTTGAAGTGATGAAACATTGGAAATCCAAAATTTAAAGAATTGCGGGTCCGTATCTGAGCCGGAATGTTTTTACTTTGCTCACAGACTCGGCCTGATTCCAAAATGGTATAATATGCTGGGCTATGGCCTCTAGCAGTAAAGTTAAAAACACGGAAAATTTTATTTTGGAAAACAGTTATTTAAAAACATTTTTTTTTTCATTTGAACATAAGCTATTGAAAGTTGGGGAGTTCTGTCCCTTTAGTTGTTTTTATCAGTAGAAGCCAAGATGGCAGAATCTGAAAACAATCGCAGTAATGAAAATTTGGGAATACAAAATTTCAGGGTTGCTGGTCCGGATCCGACCCCGAATGTCTTTAATTTGCTCACGGAGTCGGTCTGTTTCCATAATTGTATGATATGTTGAGCTACGGCCTCTAGAAGTAAAGTTGAAAAGTTTGACACAGTGACAGATTGAGATTCGCATTTATTATATATATATATATATATATATATATATATATATATATATATATATATATATAATTGGAGTAGAAGTTCGGCTGTTGATCAATTCACCTCCTTCCCGGTCTTTTGAAAAATAGAGGTTTATGCCTCGTTTTCTGTTTAGGGTTAGTTTTTAGGTCCATTATAAAGTTTACCTCCCATCCTATACGTCTTACATCTCCGGCTATACACCTAAATTTTATTTACTATTTATGTTTCTTACAATAGAAGGAGATAGCTTCCCTATCGTCCGGTTCACACTCCTCCCCTGTCTTTTGAACACGAGTAGAAGATTTATCCTTTTTTTCTTGTAAAGGATTGGGATCCTGGTTCCTTCTAAAGTCTTCTCATTCTCTTTCACTCCCAATAGCCTCCTTACGTCTTAGTGGCATTATCTCCTTGCTTGAGATGAATTCATTATTATATATATATATATATATATATATATATATATATATATATATATATCCGATGCAATGAGAATTAAAGTAATATATAAATTCTAACGTTCACAGCATTAATCCAATGAGAACTCGATATCGATAGTAGAGCGATAATTATTTAGTATAATTTTATCATATAGACAAAAACAGTTGACTCACTTCGTTTCAGTGCAGTTTTCAACTGCACCTCGACAGGTTTTAACCGTCGAGGTGCAGTTGAAATGCACCGAAACGAAGTTGCTTCTTTGTAGTGAGTAAACAGTTTTTTGTTTGATAAAATTATAATATATATATATATATATATATATATATATATATATAAGGATTATACTTTCGATTCACTTTTAAAAATATAATTAAATATAAAAAAGAATTGGGTGGTGGGGAATACCATTTTGGTAAGTATGAATATGTTTCTTTACCCATTGTGTATATACTGCCTTCATGTTATATACGCATGTCTGTTTATACATAGAAGTGCATGCGTGTGCATTTTCAGCCAATCTTTCTCTCTCACACACATACAGAGGCGCGCACAGAAAGTAGCCATATGCAGCCGGCGTTTTATGGTTTTATCGTTTGTGTCTGTACGGGCGCGCTGTGTCGGCTTGAGTTTTCGCGCCTTTATTGCGTCTTACGCGGATGGCAAATGGATAAATGTTGGGGGCAGGGGCCCTGAAACAATATTTGGAATACATACAATATGCACACCTACAAAAAGAGGGGCCGACTCGTATCCGTATATTGCCTGTGTTGTCCTAAGTGAATTAATGTACTTACAATATAGCCAGAAGTCCTATATCTCGATCCGACAAAAAAAAAAAAAGCGGGAAGAAATAAATAAATAAATAAAAAATAAAATAAATAGGTCAGGAAATAAAAACATACGTAACACACATGCATATCTGATGATACATAGGCATTGAGTTACATATATTGGTGCCCACCCCCAACAAAGACACACACACACACACACACACACACACACGTTGAAACACCGTTTCTCGTAAGATCGCTGACGTTAAGCAACGTCGAGCTTGTTCAATACCTAGATGGGTGACCCCTTGAAAATAGCAAGTGCGGTAAGCTTGGGTGTGCGGGTGGTACAATGGATAATGGCTCGGAATTAGAAGTCGGAGAGCCGGTTTCCAATTCCAGTTGGGTTCCTTACGTTCCCGAACGCGCAAATGATATTTGGGAAACGTATAAATCCAACACTTCTCCTACCAAATCATTATTATCTCCAAAGAGATTCTTCGAATCTAAAACTATTTTCTGGCTTTAAATAAACTGCAAAAGGTTGATAAGTCATAAAAAAACAAGACGATCAATCAAGCAATCACATAAACACAAATATATATCTATTCTCAGTACATTTATGCACAACTATATAAAAATATATATACGCATATATGAGCGCGCACGCGCACACACACACACACACACACATATATATATATATATATATATTACATCGATCAGAAATTCAAAATTACTCCATCTGAATAGGTATTTCATCCTACAAGTGCTTCTTTGCAGGATTTATCAAACCAAGGAGTGAAGAAATAATATATATATATATATATATATATATATATATATATATATATATATATATATATATATATATATATATATATATATATATATATATATATATATATATATATATATATATATATATATATATATATGTAACATCTCTCTCTCTCTCTTTATATATATATATATATATATATATGGTCAGCAACCTTTTTTTAAACATATTTCGTTGAATATGACAATTTCGGACAATCTTTGCACTTCCTTACATCCACAAATGCATCATCGAAAACACAATTATAAGTTATAATTTATTTCAACGGGTAAGTATTTTATACACGACTCCTCAGAACGAAATTACAAATGGTTTAAATTTACAAAATATTTTAAAGTTAAATTTATCAAGAATATTTTTAAAAAACAATATGAGAGGAAACCGAGACGCTTGACATAGAAAATCTAATTTCTGGGGATTTATAATATTGAAGACATGTGTGGGTGAGGGGGGTGTCTAGCTTTTAACACGATTTTCATTTGTGGTGGTTGGGGGAATATAGTAACAGCTAGATGAATACACTAACATAAAGACATACAAATATATATATATATATATATATATATATATATATATATATATATATATATATATACACACATACATGTATATAGATATATTCATATACACATATAGATGTATAAAAGAAAGAAGAGAAAATAAATTAACTCAGAAAATAATTGAAATAAAATGAATGAATGTATAATACAAATCATATATATATATATATATATATATATATATATATATATACAGACATACGTATATACATATATATATATATACATGTATAAGAAGAGGAAATGAAAATAATATACTACAAAAAACAACACTTTAAGTTTAATATCTAATTAATCTTCATATTTATAGAATCCAACACATGCACACACATCTATAGACACATAAACATCCATTTGTAATTTCGGTCTGATGAGTTGGGTATTACAAACTTACTCGTTGAAATAAATTATAATGTTTAACTGTGTTTTCGATGATACGTTAAGTATTTCCTTGATGTATATCTTATTGCTCTGTATACTATACATTGAGCTCTCTTTATGGAGCCATCTTTTTATTATCTTATATTAAAAAGATTATCCTTTCCGCTTAGGAAATTGATATTATTATCTCTCTCCATATATATATATATATATATATATATATATATTGATATGTTCCGGAAAGGGATATATTTGATCGGAGTAGCTAAGTGGTTTTGCCTACTGTAATTGAGGAGTACAATCTAGCAGGTAGCCGTAATCGACTGGTACTTGTCGTAGTCGTAGTCAATAGGTGTAGACCAATAGGATAGCCAATGGCATAGTCCAATGGGCGTCGTCTCTATACCTCCACATCAGCTTATATTTATGGCTGACACCAGCCAATCATATTACTATGAGGGGGAACTCGGGTGTATGCATTTTAATTACATCATATATATATATATATATATATATATATATATATATACTTATAGACGCATATATCTAATTATACAAAATTGCACTCACACACATATATTATGAAATGGACTAAGTCCGACAAATATTTCAATATATTTTCTGTTCATACGTTATTTTTTTTTTAGGTACAATTATTTAAGTAAATGCGCTGTTTATAATAACCAGTTTTAACGACATTTACTTGTCTGAATATCCAAGAAATTTCGTTGAAAATATATATCCTCCGACAGGAATCGAACCTTTAACCTCCAGGGAACCATTATTTGGCCTGACATGCTATACCATTTAGCTTCGGAGGAAGCGCCTGGTTAGCAAAGTCAAATTACTGTTTTTAAACAACAAATTTCCCATGATTTTTCTCGAACGATCATTGAGTCAATTGCTTCTTCCACCGCGAGGAAAGTTGGCTCTCTGTGCCGCGCCAGGAAATTTTACTTCCCTGAATCGATACTTCAAATATACAAAACAACCATTCGCCCTTGCATGGAGTATTTCTGCCATATATATGGCCTGGGGCACCTTCAGCTTACCCCGGAGTTCTTGACAAGATCCAGAGACGGATATGTAATCTTATTGGCCCTGATCTGGCGTCTCGTCTGCAGTCACTCTCTCACAGACACGCCGTCGCCTCTCTCTGTCTTTTCTACAAATACTTTCATGGTAATTGCTCCGATGAGCTGCTTTCACTGGTTCCCAGACTCCATGAATTCAAGCGCCCTACGAGGCTGCCATCCCGCTCTCACCCTTTCACTGTAGAAACTTTTAAATTTAGCCGTCTCTTCTACTCCAATAGCTTCATACTGCACCTCTCGCCTGTTTGAACACCACCCCTTCCCAATTACTGTTGCCCTGAGAGCTATAATCTCCAACTATTCAAATGTAATGTCAATCGACACCTCCAGTTACCTTGATCTACCCATCCTTTCTTCTATCACTCCTTCTCCTCATCCCCCTTTCTTCTATCAAAAAAAATATATCCTATTATTTTAATATATTTTCAGTTTATATGTTATTTCAAATAGAAGTATTTAAGTGCAACCCCCCTCGCATCCTAGTGGCTTCACGCCTTGATATTTTATTTTTTTTTTTTAGTGCCAATGTAAATTTACAGAGCATTTTAAAAAAATTTATATATTTTCCCGTTTTGTTTCAAAAATAGAAGTCCGACAATTATTTCTTAAAATTGAACAAAAGATTTTTCAGTTTATTTTAATATATTTTAGTTTTTCTATAGATAGAAGTATTTAAGTTCAAACGCTCTGTTTTATAAAAACCCGTAAATAAACAGTATTATCTTTAATTTATTTGCATATATTTATTTTTATTTTATTTTTGATATATATATAACCATATATATATATATATATATATATATATATTGCCTCGAGTATTTCTGGGAGATAGCATTTTTTATAGGAAGCAGTCTTTTTAATCACAGTGCACAACATCAAAAGATAGAGCGTTATCTGTTCTTTACCTCTTCTCCGGGTTCTTGTTACGCTTTGAAACATTGTCCTTTTGGTAACAGTGACGAGTCGGTAATGTCTTTAGATATTTCTTTTCCCTCGTCTATTTTGCATGAAGCTCCTTCTGAACAGGACATATTTTGTTACCAACGCACTGAATTGAAGTCATATTTTCTATGCAGCGCCATGTAGGTGTGAAATATTTAATTGTCCCGATGAAAATTATGCCTCTGAGGTTTCATCCTGGGTGGAAGCAGGCACTAAATTTTTCTGCTAGCGTCGAAAATATCCCGAAATATAGCAAGTGAGACCGCAGAGTCTCCTCCTCACTTCACTCCTGCATTTTCAGCCTCTGTGGCCCATAGGAATCACTTCTTCCGGCTGTATCAACGTCACAGGATCATCAAAAGCGTGTTTTTGTAGCTGTTATCGCTCTTTCCGGGTCTATCCTAAACTTTTGTTTGAAATAGAGCAGAACGTCAGCATTTCGATCATGTCATTATTATTCCTTTGACTTATAAGCCATCTACCGCTGCAGTTATAGATAAAGAACGAAATAGTCGCTATTCTGTTTACGAACAAAAGAAACGTCTTAAAGTGCTATTATTTCGATATTTATTCGCATCCTCATCAGCAAATATGAACAGAGATAAATGTTGAAGAGTAAAACTGCAAATACAAAAACAGACATAAGTGAAACACAGGTACAGTGTTACCCGGATGTAAGATACCCGGATATAAGAGAAACCCGGATATAAGAGAGATTTTCTCTGATCCCAAATTAGAGCCTGAGTTAATGTATATAAATTAGACCAAACCCGGATATAAGAGAAACCCGGATATAAGAGACTTCTCCGGTCCCGACAACTCTCTTATATCCGGGTTACACTGTATATATATTTAAGCATATACGCACGCGCAATAGACACCACATATAATTAACGCATCCAGCCCCCACCCCCCCAAAAAAGTTACCTTCTCCTTCAGAAATTGCAGGGAGGTAAAAAAAAAATTGTCTTGACTCAATATACAGTGCTGTTCGATAAAAGTGACTCACCTGGTGTTTTTTACTAAAAAATATTTTTTGTCTATTGTGTTTGGGGCTAAAATAATTTTTTTTATCATACTAATATAAAAACCCCTTCGCGACCACCTAGGAAAAAAGTTTATTCACCCTAAGGTATTCTATTGATAATTATAAATTTGGATATAAATGAGATTCAGGAAAAAAAACTCTGTGCAAAAAAAAGTGACTCGGATATCGCATTCTAATGATTAAACTGGTAAATTTAAATAGATTTTGACAAAATATTGAAAACTATTTTACAATACACTCAGAACAATATTTTAGAGAATTCTAGAACAGCTTAAATTAAATCTACAGTATTCCAGAATATTCCAGAAAGCTTCATAGAAAAACAGCTTGAAATAGCCACTCAGAACCACTTAAGGCATCTATTTTTGCCCTCTCAAAAGCAGGCAACTCAAATCTACGAGAGAAATTGCAGAAATTGCTATAACCTCGCAATCAACTATCCTCGGTGCTTAGGGCACATAATAAAACCCCACTCTACTCCAAGGAACTAAACAAGGGGTCAAAAGTAAAAAGATTGATGATAGAACTGGCAGGGTAATCAAGAGAGAAGTCGCGAAGAATAGGACCATAACTAGCCAAGAAATTGCAGCCAGTCTAAGCGAAGGGCAAGGTGTTAGTCTTGCCTCTTCAACATTCCGTTGGTGACTATTAGAACAAGGCTACAAATCTTGTACACGAAGGTTTAAGCCGCTAATAAGCAAAGCCAACAAAGCCAAGAGACTTGAATGGGCTCACTATTACAAAAATGTCACCGTAGAAGACTGGAAGAATGTTCTTTTCTCCGATGAAACGAAAGTTGAGCTAAATTCAAAGGATAAGCGATCTAAAATCCGAAGAAGCTTTAAAAGCTCTTTGAATTTAGCAGTAAGTACTGTCAAGCATCCGTTCAGTATAATGTTCTGGGGATGCTTTTCTTTTCATAGAACTGGTTTCTTAAAACCTATTGAAAAGACCCTTAGGAGCGAGCAGTACAAGAAAATTCTTGTCTGCTCCCTTCTGCTGAAAAGGGTGCAAATCGACCCCACCAAGCTCCTTTTTATGCAGGATAATGCTCCCTGTCACAAATCAAAATTGATGAAAGAATACTTTGATGAGAAGCAGGTGAGTGTTATGACATGGCCGCCCCAATCTCCTGACCTCAACCCCATAGAAAACATATGGAGCATTATAAAGTACAGACTCTTGTGAAAGCAGTTGAGCAACTAAGAGGATTTGATTGTGAATTTCATATCCGAATGGAATTCAAGGCTTAGAGATGAGATTTGCCAGAATCTAATCAAGTCAATACCAAAAAGTGTTGAAAATGTTATTCAAAATAAAGGAAGACCCATAGATTATTAAATATTTCGAACTATATTACCTATTATAAATAAATTATACCTCTATTATTCTTTATTTAAAGCTGTTCGGTTATGTTTCTATTGATTACTAGTTGCAGGAAATAAGTAAGGCACTTTTTTGCACAGAGTTTTTTTTTTCCTGAATCTCATTTATATCCAAAATTATAATTATCAATAGAATACCTTAGGGTGAGTAAACTTTTTTACTAGATGGTCGGGAAGGGGTCTTTATGTTAGTAAGATTAAAATTAGTTTGACTCAAAAAACAATAGGCGAAAAAATTTTTAAGTAAAAAAATCAGGTGAGTCACTTTTATTGAACAGCACTATATATATATATATATATATATATATATATATATCTTCATCTCATACATCTGTTCGTTTTTACCAACTTCATCCTTCAGAAATTGCAGTAGGCGTCAACCACCGTGGCCGAGAGAAACCAGTAAGATTAATCATCGCACGTAAGCCTTTTCGAACCACGGTGACTACTTCCACATACTAATAAAATCTCACAAAGCCTAAGTACTGACCACTATAGTAAGATCTCTATACCCGATCAACCACAAAGTTCTTTATATGAATAATATAATTTTGCGCGGCTAAAACTTTTTACTATAGAATTGTGCGATGAATGATTTTATTATAGAAATGCATTCAAAAGTATTTTGGTATAGAATTGTATTGTAAACGCTTTTATTTAAAAATGCTTGGCACCTAAGAAGGAAAACAGCTGGTAGTGGTCAGTCGTCATTGTCAGGTATGATATAATGTATAGAAATACATTGTAAAAAATACTATAGAAATACATTGTAAATAAATTACTATAGAATACATTGAAAATTACGATAAAAATTTATTGAGAACCAGCAGAAAATGGGTTTTCAGTGGTTAGGAATTACTGCAAGCATTAATGACTGAATGGGGTATATATATATATATATATATATATATATATATATATAGATAGATAGATAGATAGATAGATAGATATGATATTATTAGTGGTCAATATACACATACATATGCAAAATATATAAATATATATACATGGGTGCATATACATACATGTATATTTTTGAATAAAAATTTCAAGAGGATAGAATCCAGGTAGAACTCAGTGTTTAAGCTTTTTATATATATATATATATATATATATATATATATATATATATATATATATATATATATATAAAATAATAAAAAAGCTTAAATAATTTATTCCATTGAATCGTAAATATTCCATGGTCATAATTTATGACCATAGAATATTAGTGTTTTAAGCCTTTTTTATTTTTCCTTACTCTGTCCTGAACATTGAGTTCTACCTGGATTCTATCCTCTTGGAATTTTTAGTCAAAAAATATATATGTATGCGTATGCATGTATGTATATATATTTATATATTTTGCATATGTGTGTGTATATTTACCACTAATTATCTCTCTCTCTCTCTCTCTCTCTCTCTCTCTATATATATATATATATATATATATATATATATATATATATATATTCATACATATTTCATTAAATAATATAGACAATATGTTGCACAGCAATTGACATCTTTGATAATGGCTTATGTAAGCCGAAAGCTTGATAGGATTAAAAATTAGGATCAATATTGTGATTTTCTTTCTTCGTTTAATGATAATGTTATTAAGATTATCAGGCGTTACGAAAAGAATTTACATAAAATAAATAGACAAAACTTGCCTATATTAGTTAATGAAACATGTATGAATGAAAAACTGCTGCCTAAATAGACACACACACACACACACACAATATATATATATATATATATATATATATATATATATATATATATATAATTAAGTTACGAAGAACTTGGTAAACCGAATGAGTAATTCCAAGGAGGATGAAATCCTGAGAGCTCAATGTGAATACAGAGCTAATATTTAATGAAAAAACAGACCATTTAAGGTACCATTACAATAATTTATTTCACCAAAATCCTTTTTGAAGGACTTCGGATCATCAGGTAACACTTCCAACAACGAAATGAAAGGAAAAATTTATATATATATATATTTCTTTTTAATCAATTCACTCCAAGAAGGGCGGGAATGCCACTAGTATGCAGTGGTTACAGAGGGTGAAAGGGAGAGAAAAAACTGGATATAGAAGGGATTGAGGAAAAGATAAACGATTAACAGGATTCAAGAAGATAGAAGATGGCGATTGACGTTGCATTTAAATTTTTGAAGGTTGTAGTTATCAGGGAAGCAAATAAATAGAAAGGAGTTCCACGAGCGGGAAGTACAAGAAAAGGAACTGTTGAAGGAGAAGTGGCGGTTTAACGTAACGTGATTAAGGCCATATCCCGTTGAAACATCGGTTCTTGTCCGATCACCGAATTTAAGCAACATCGAGCTTGGTGATGGGTGACCTCTTGCGAATACCTGGTGTTGTAAGATTGGATATGCTGGTGGTATGGCTTACGGTTATATCACGTTGAAATATCGGGTTTTAATTAGATCAAAGGAGTTAAGCAACGTCAAGCCTAGTCAGTACCTAGATGGGTGACCGCTTGGGAATACCAGCTGTTGTAAGCTTGGAGGTGTTGGCGGTATGACTTACGGCTATATCACGTTGAAACAATTGTTCTCGTCCGATCGCCGACGTTAAGCAACGTCGAGCCTTGTCAGTACGTAAGTGGGTGACCGCTTGGGAATACCAGGTGTTGTAAGCTTGGATTTGCTGGTGGTATAGCTTACGGCCATATCACGTTGAAATATCGGTTTTAGTCCGATCACCGAAGTTAAGCAACGTTGAGCCTCGTTAATAACTAGATGGGTGACCGCTTGGGAATATAGGTGCTGTAAGCTTGGATGTGTTGATGGTATGGCTTACTGCCATAATCACGATGAAAAATCAGTTCAAGTACGATCACTGAAGTTAAGCAACGTCGAACCTGGTCAGTACCTAAATGGGTGACCGTTTGGGGATACCAGGTGTTGTAAGCTTGGATGTGCCGGTGGTATGGCTTACGGCCATATCTCGTTGAAATACCGGTTCTCGTCCGATCGCCGAAGTTAAGCAACGCTATGCCTGATCTGTACCTAGATGGGTGACCGGTTGGGAATACCAGGTGCTGTAACTTTGGATGTGATAGAAAATCGCTCGGAATGAGAAATCATTGAGATGGGTTTGAATGCCTCTCGAGTACATTACATTCACTTATCCCCCAAATACCTTTACACAGATGGACTCTCCCAAGATACAACTAAAAGCAGGTATTGCTTTTAGAAAGAAGGGAGCTTTTCCAACAGTCAGCTCTGACAGTCAGACTTAACTGTCTTGCTCGTTTGTATATGATTGTATTACTGTTTTACTGTTAATATATTTGCTAACTCACTTCTCCTCTTTGTGTCTTTATTTCTGGCCCCAACAGAAAGGTACTGATCCATCACTTCTCCTCTCCAGCTATGGGTTAAATAGCAGGACAGACTAAGTCCTATAGTCTTGGTTGGCAATCAGTCTACCGCAGAAAGTAACGACAAGCTACAGGAGGAATTTTTCTGCCAAGTCAAACATGAATCGAAAAAGGACATGATCGCCCAAGCATGGTACATAAGGATGAAATGTAAATGCATTGATACTGAAATTTAATATAGAAATTCATTGTAATGATTTTACTATAGAAATGTATTACAAATTTGTTTACAACCGCAGTCAGTTGTCAAATCAGAAGAAATTAGATTGGAAAGCGGCACTTTACAAAATTTATTTAAATATAAAGGCAAATCTAAGTCTAGCTGATTGCATTTGATGTTTTGGTCACGATAACGAGTCCCGCAAACCTTTCGAGTCGGAGAGGCATCACATGTACTGATGGCGCAGTAGAAGTGGTGTGTCGTCTGACGGAGCCCAACTCTCTCCAGATTAGTTTGAATATAGAATTTTCCTTCTCGAGAACCCAGCCTGCCCTGCTATTTATCCATAGCTACGCGGAAAAGAGATGGATTCTCACTTTGCTCAAGGGTATTAGCAGGTAAGTAAACGTGACGAATTCAACTGGAAACATTACTTCACCGCATGTCAGACTAGGGAAACTAATTAAAACTATTTCGATTACTTAATTTTACAGTTACACATCCTGTAACCCCAGTTACAGGCACGCTATCCATTTCCGCTGTTGCTACTGTTGAAAGTCCTCAAATGATGTGGTATCTATTATTTGGTACAGTTCGCAAATGAATTAAAGACATTTTTAAAACAGGCCTACTTAAAATCCTTTCTTTTATTTTATTTTCTTTATCTAATAACAACACTGATGATGACCCGTCCTGGGTATAAGGATAAACTACATCCGCGTCCTGGGTAAGACGATAAACTACATTTGTGTCCTGGGTATGACGATAAACTACATCCACGTCCTGGGTATGACGATAAACTACATTCGTGTCCTGGGTAAGACAACAAACTACATCCGCGTCCTGGGTAATACGATAAGGTACATCTGACAGCAAGGGCTTTGATCAGGAGGTTTCGTGAAGCACCTCTTAATTGCTGGTATACCCAGCTCCACCCTGACCCGGGGTGGTAGCAACTGTCAGGGTCCCAGATATGGGCAAATAGTTCCCCGCGCCAAAAAAAAGGGGGTCAAAATACTATGAAAGTATAAAAATAGGTTTTAATACCAGCACTACTTTTTCTGGGAAAATTAAAGCCATTTTTGAAAAAGAAAAATATTACCAGCAATACATTTTTTGAGAAAAAATATTACCAGCAAATACTTTTTGAAAAAAAATATTACCAGCTATACATTTTTTGAAAAAATATTACCAACAATACATTTTTGGAAAAAAGAATATTACCAGCAGTAAATTTCTGAAAAAATATTACCAGCAATACCTTTTTTGGAAAAAAATATTACCAGCAATAAAAATCTTGTCGGCATTAAGTAATCCATTGAAGTTGATATGCCGTAAGACAAACCAAACATGATTATGACCTATGTATGTCGAAAGTTTAGACTGATTTCAACTTCCATCGGAAAGCATAACTCAACGTAGAAAAATTGTATAAAAATAAACCTTAACAAAGAAATTCCGTTGGCGTTAAAGTAAGATTGTATATTTCGAGTTCCGTAACTCATTAGAGTTGTAGGGACGCTACATGTAGTTTTGACACAGTAGAAATGGCGTGTCTTGGACGGGGCCCAACCCCCTCTTAGTCTGTTTTGAATTCATGGTTTTCCTTCTCCTAGGCCGGTTTCCACTGAATAGAACTCACTCTGTTCTGCTATTTACCCATTCGATGTTTAGGAACTAATAAAGAAAAAAGAAAATGAAAAAAAAAAGGAATGAAGAGTTAATTATCATTTCATTAAAAATCAGTCATCTTTTCGGTGAGAGACGTAATTTCTACGTCAGTCACCGATTCTGCTCTTCACGTTCGGGTTAAAAACCAGACTGAAATCTTTTTTTTTTTTTTTTAAATGATACAGTTAATATTATTATTATTACAGATGTTGAAAACCTTTCCCCCACCAAAAAAAATCTCGCCACCATTGCAACAATCAAAGACAGAATCTAAGCTGATATGCAAGACATCGTTACAGATCACTTCTCTTCTTTTTAGTGTGAACATATCAACAACCAAAAGTAAACACATGCAGGAGGTTATATTTTCTAGTTAAAAAAAAAAAAAATGTCATGTCCGTTCAAGATATAAGCAATCATGGCTCTCCACAGATTTTTTTTTCATTTCCTATCTGTGAATTGCCATTAATTCTTGGGAAAGATAGTGCAATGTCTCATCGTAGCCTCCTTCACAATTTGGAATTCATACAATTGCTGCTATCCATTGCTAGAGTGCTCCATCTACCCTATTATTTAACCCATAACTGGGAGCCGAAAAAGAGATGGATTTAAGCCTTTTCAAGGAGCATTACTGTGAAAGGGAACTTAACTAACTAGCTCGGATTCGAAACTCGTTTCAATGATTCTATTTGTTCGCGCCGGTATCCTTTATACCACCCGCACATTCTATATTATTCTATCCTGTTCTTCGGCTAGGTGTCGTGTCCCTTCAGAACGTTGATGACTCTCCACGATTTCCTGCCCTTTTTAGCTCTTAATAACTTTCGTCTTTTTGCCATCTCCTCCATTACTTTCTTTAGTTGACCCCAATGAAGGCGACTCGCTTAAGATCGCCATGTATGTTCTGGTCGTCTTACCTTCAGTGTTCCTTGTGAGTATCAAATTTTCCAAGCCCTCTATCCTCATTATGTGCCTAAGCAATTTCAGCTGTCTCTTCCATTGTCTCGAGAACTTCGTCGTTGCTCACATGTTCGGTCCATGATATTCTCAATATCCTTCTGTGGATCCACATTTCTGTTGCTTCAAGTCTCTTCTTCGTCTGTGAGGAGATTGTCATATATGTTCAGTGCCATATATCTATCTATCTATCTATCTATCTATCTATCTATCTATCTATCTATATATATATATATATATATATATATATATATATATATATATATAAATATATATATATATATATGTATGTATGTGTATATATATATATATGTGTGTGTATATATATATGTATGTGTGTATATATATATGTATGTGTATATATATATATATGTGTGTATATATATATATATATATATATATATGTATATATATATATATATATATATATATATATATATATATATATATATATATATATATGATTCAGTTATAGAAGAAATAGCATAAGTCATAGTTAAAGAAATTTGACATAGAATAGGCTACGTTAAATGTAGCTTTATCCAAAACCATGCTGCAAAACTAAAATCTTAGACATAGAACTTGCCATGTTCTTAAATAGCTTCGAAACAATTATATGGATGCCATCCATGGCGTCCCAAATCTGTCAACTGTATACAAATGATTTCTAAAATAAATGACTATAAATTACTCCCAGCGAAATCTGTGGGTCATGAAGAGGGCCGCTCTTTCTTGAACCACGTGAACTGGTCATACAGACTCGTAAACAAAAGAACTTTACCAAATAAAAATCTTATCTACGAGATCAAACAGTCAGCCATTGATGGCAATAGCAGTGAGACTGTGGAGAACAATGAAAACACTCGTAACTTAGTGTCAAAAAGATAAAAACACATCATTTCGATAAAATATTAGAAAGCACATAATTTTCCTTTCAAAACCACACTCCCTAATGATGACTCGTGTGGGTAAGACAACGTGAATATTGACCATTGTACAACAACAATATTTGCGAAACATTTCGTACATTATAAAAAAAATCATAAATTTTAATGAGCATGAAATGTCTATTTTTTCAAAAAATGTTCAATAGAAAAAGTCTATAAAATTTTACAATATATATATATATATATATTTCATAAAATATAAAAAATAAAAATTTACTGAATCAAAGAAATGAAATAGCTATTCTTTGCCGACATTGTCAAAAATTTCCTTAAATAATATTTAAAAACAAAATAAAAAATGGGAGCTGGTAATATACATACTTATATTTTAAGACATTTTTATACATTCGTTTTATAGATAAAATATTTAAGTAAATGCTCTGTTTATAATAACCACTATTAAACAACATTTACCGGCCTGAATATCAGAGAAATTTTCACAAAATATATTCGTCCTCCAACGGGAATCGAACACGCATCCTATACAGAACCGTAATTTAGCCTAAGGTACCTTAACCGATCGAGCCACAGACTTTCGTTCGTTTCCTAAGCTCGATTTTACTGCTTTTAAACTTCAATCTTCCATGAATCTCTCACGTACATTCATAACTGCTCAATGCGTATCCAAATGTAAAGAAATGACGTCATACATTATGAAATGGACAAAGTCCGACAATTATTTTAAGGCATTTTTATGTTTATACATTATTTTTATAGATACAAATATTTAAGTAAATGATCTGTTTATAATAAACGGTATTAATAACATTTAATGGCTTGAATGTCCGAAAAATTTTCATAGAAAATATTTGTCTTCCTACAGGAATCGAACCTGAACCCTATACGGAACCGTCATATAGCCCGACGTGCCTTAACCGATTGAGTCGGATGGTTCGATTAGCAAGGTCGATTTTACTGCTTTTAAACTA